GGAGGAGGCGGTGGAGGAGAAGGAGGAGGTGGCGGAGGGGGAGGAGGCGGCGGGTTCATGCCGCCGATCATCTACCCACCGCCGCTGGCCCCGCCGATGGCGCCAGGGGCCGGGCAGGCGCTGTGGTGCGTGGCGAAGCCGACAGTGCCGGACCCGATCCTCCAGGAGGCCATGGACTACGCGTGCGGCTCCGGCGCCGAGTGCCGGTCCATCCAGCCGTCCGGCGCCTGCTCCCAGCCGGACACCGTGCTGGCCCACGCCTCCTACGCCTTCAACAGCTACTGGCAGATGACCCGGGCCAACGGCGGCACCTGCGACTTCGGCGGCACCGCCACCATCGTCACCAGCGACCCAAGTAAGCCCTCAAACCTCGAGTGACCGAAAGCTCCATCCACCCACCCATGAACCATCATCCATACCATGCCATGCCATGCATGAATCCTCATGATCGATCTTGATTTCTTACCATGGGCTTCTGTCCGTCATGATCTCTGCAGGCTATGACAGTTGCGCGTTCAACCTTGTATGAAGGAGCGGATCGATGAGCCAATTTTCAGCTATCATGAGGAGCATCTTTTCTGTTCCATTTGTTTCGAGGCCACACAGCACCGAAGGCTTAGTAAGGAGTAGCTGAGATTAGTGTGATTTTGATTCTGGCAAGACTGCTGATACCGTGTAAAGGCGATTCCTTGACATGTGCATTATACTGCTAGTAGCTTCTTGGGCAGGAAGATGCTTAATCGTGCGTGCCCCTCTTGTAACTTTAAACCTTGTTGACCAAATTAGTTTAGTTTAAGCCAACCATATATGCCTAACTTGGTGGTCACGCTAACCCAGTTAGTAGCACCAGGAAAGTTGGATTCTGTCCGCTCACGTACGAGCTCGACTCTTTGTTCTGCACCTGATCCAACCAAGCATCTCCAGATAAACATAGTACTCCCTCCGTAAAGAACCCAGACTTATCACATAAGAGCGTTTAGATCACTAAAGTAGTGATCTAAACACGAGACTCCTATATTTCTTTACAGAGGTAGTACGTGATAACTAGGATTGAGAAGGATATAGATGTTGGATAATCAGCATCAGAGGCACGTAGTTGAATGTTGAGCTCCATAGGAGTCACAACAGTGCGTTCATCACCGAGAGCGGCGCGAGCAAGAAGATCCTGAATATATTTTTTCTGAGAGATGTAGAAACCATGAGAGGTCGAGGAGATCTCAATCCCAAGAAAATAGTGAAGGGGACCAAGATCAGCCATGAGGAACTGGTCGTGAAGGCGAGCCTTAACAAAGGCGTCGTCACCAGTGATGATCATGTCATCAACATAGAGAAGGAGAAGAGTCCGACCACGAGGAGATATGTGAACAAACAATGCGGGATCATGGTCACTGGGCAAGAAGCCAGCTGTAGTCACCACAGAGGCGAAGCGCTCAAACCAGGCGCGAGGGGCCTGTTTGAGACCATAGAGGGAGCGGCGAAGCCGACAGACCATGCCATCAGGAGCATAGTACCCCGGTGGTGGCTGCATATAAACCTCCTCACGCAACTCGCCATTGAGAAAGGCGTTCTGGACATCAAGTTGAGAGATGGACCAATTGCGAACAAAAGCCACAACAAGGAGAGTGCGATCGTGGTCATGTGAGCCACAAGAGCGAATGTCTCATCATAATCGCGTCCTTGCTCCTGCTGGAAATCACGGGCCACAAGACAAGCTTTGTAACGCTCAAGAGAACCATCAGAGCGAGTCTTAATCTTGTAGACCCACTTGCAAGTGATGGGACGAACACCAGAAGGAGGAGAAACCAGATCCCACGTGCCATTGCGCTCAAGCGCCGCAAGCTCCTCGGCCATCGCAAGCTGCCATTCAGGCTGGGTCATGGCGGCCCGATAGGTGGTGGGCTCAGCAATGGCAGAGAGACCATACCGGTCAGGAGAATAGCGATCAGGAGGGGGACAAGGCCTAACACAAAGGTTATGGACCGGCGTAGGCGGGAGAGGTGGTGCACCGGAAGTAGAAGGCACATTAGTAGGATCATCCATAGCACGAGGACGATGAGTGTAGTAGTGAGGAAAAGGGGAGTGAGGGCGAAAGACAGGAGAGTAAGGTGGGGAGGGAGATGACGAGGGAGTGGAGGAGGTGGGAGGGGATGATGGTACTGGTGGTGTAGGGAGACTCATCGGGAGAGAGAGGGTAGAACAGGAGGCACGGAGGGAGATGTGTCGGGAAGGAGAAGGAAGGAAATATCTTCCACGAAAAAGCTCGAGGAGGAGGGACGCGAATAGTAAGAACGAGACTCATCAAAAGTCACATCACGCGAAATGCGCAGTCGGCGACCAACAGGATCCCAACAGCGATAGCCCTTGTGCTCATCACTGTAGCCAACGAAAACACACTCAACTGACTGAGCAGTCAACTTGGTTCGTTCTCGTGGAGCAAGAAGAACATAACACATGCATCCAAACATACGAAGAGCGGAGTAGTCATGAGAGCGACCAAAGAGACGCTCCATAGGAATACCACCCTTCAAGGCAGCCGATGGCTGAATGTTGATGAGGTGTGTGGATGCGGAAACGGTCTTAGCCCAAAAATGAGGTGGAAGAGAGGCGGCAATCATCATCGCCCGAGCCATCTCAAGAAAATGGCGATGTTTGCGTTCAGCAATGCCATTCTGAGCATGGGCACCAGGGCAAGAGAATTGGGCAAGAGTACCCTGCTTCGCAAGAAAACCACGCAACATGTGAGAGATATACTCTCCAGCGGAGTCAGCACGGAAGATACGGATAGGCATGGAAAATTGAGTGCGAACCATGGCAGCAAAACACTTATATATGGGGAGAACCTCGCTGAGAGATTTCATACAATAAAGCCAAGTGTAGCGAGAGAAATCATCAATAAACAGAACATAGTAGCGATGACCCCCTTTTGAGTCAAAAGGAATAGGACCCCATACATCAGAATGAACTAAGTCAAAGGAACGCTGAGATACAGACTCACTAGTAGGATAAGGTAACTAGGTCTGTTTTCCAAGCCTACAACCATCACAATGCAACGAAACATCACCAGAGACAGATCCTAAGACGCCTTGGTGTACTAATGAGGACAAGCGAGAGCCATAGATGTGACCAAGTCGATGATGCCACTGCTGGAAGGACACATAAGAGGAGGCAGCAAGAGCATGTGAGCTGGCATATGTGGTAGCAGCAAAAGGAACACGAAGCCAGTCAACCTCCCAAAGACCCTCAGACTCACGGCGCCGAGGGCCAGTGCCAACTAGAGCCTGAGTGCGACCATCCTGAACAGAACAAGAGTCGGCATCAAGAATGACACGACAACCAGAATCAGTAAAAGTTGGGCAGCGGAAAAGAGATTCATGGTAAGACGAGGAACATGAGAAACACTAGGAACCGAGAAAGACAGAGTGGAAAGGATGCCACGACTACCAACAGGAAGAGGTGTGCCATCGGCCCTGAGAACATTAAGAGGAAAATCAAGAGGTCGAAGAGAAGATAAAGCAGAAGAATCAGAAGATATATGAATAGAAGCTCCAGAATTCAGAACCCACGAGGATGTACCTGACTGAGTAGGCTCCGGCGGGGGCGGAGTGGTGGTGGCTGTCATAGTGGCAACAGAACCCGTCGAGGAAGAACTAGATGAGGCCAACATGCGCTTGAGTTGCACAATATCCTGGTCAGTGAGCGACGAGGTCGAGGAAGACGCACGAGTCCCACTAGAAGAAGAGCGCTTCAGGTCTCTCTGCTACTTGTGACAATCTGACTCTGGGTGACCTGGCCTGTTACAGTAGCCACAAAAAGCGTGCGAGCGCGACTGACCCTCGCCTGAAGGAGGGTGACCCACCCCCTGGAGGTGTGGGCAGGAGCGGTGGAGTGGTGAGGTGAGCAGAAGACACAGGAGCTCGGACAGCAAGAACAGTGGGAACCACAAGCAGACCAGCAGACCGGAGGCGTGTCTCCTCAGCACGAAGCTCGGCAAGTACCTCCGAAATAGGAACACGACCACGAGCAAGCAGGTGAGCATGCTGAGGCTCGAACTCTGGACGAAGGCGAGATAGGAACTCATGGAGACGATGAAACTCCAAGTTTGACCGCATGGTCTGACAGCAACGGCAAGTACCACAAACCATGGTCCGGAGAGAGTCAAGCTGACGCCAGATGGCAGAGCTCTGGGAGTAGAACTCATCAATAGAAGAGTCACCCTGCTGAAGAGCATGCTCCTGACGCACCACAGATAGGTAGAGAGCATCACCAGATGGCTAATATCGCTGACAAAGATAGGCCCACATCGCAGCAACAGTATCGAGACCCATGAACTCAGACGCAAACTGAGGTAAGACACTCGCAGTGAGAACAACAGCCGCTCGAGCATCATCGTGCACCATTGAGTGTAAGCAGACATATCATCCCGGTAAATAGAAAGATAATTTGAGTAAGCGGACACATGCTGATCATAAGCATCCACCGCAGCATCATCAAGGGCCTTGGCTGCATCTCGATCAGCCTGAGAAGCTTCAGCAGCAAGAACAGACGGGACCGGCGGAATAGGAGCCACAGGAGCAACAGGGCATGGCGGACAGGGGACCTCGCCAGAGAGGACGCCCCACAAGAGAAGACCGTGCATGTGGATGCGCATGAATCCCACAAACTCAACATAGTTGGTGCCATCGAAGATCACTGTGCACCGAGGAACAACCACATATCCGGAAGAAGACATGACGAGCTCAACTTCTTTTTTTTCCTTTTTTTTGGAGTCAACGCAGGAGGCCCGAACTGTATCTGGAGCGAGAGGCCCGAACTGTATTCGGAGCGAGCAGAGCCCCGCTCATGAGCGGGCGATGTAGCGCTCGGGGAGGAGGCTTCCTCACCTCCTGGAGTCAACAAGCGGACTCAGGAAGTCGGGCTGAGACCGGATCGAGCCGAGGCTTAGATGCGGGGATCGGGAAGAGTGGATCAAAGCAGCGGCGGCCGGGGCGGATCCAAGCAGCGGCGGCCAGGGACAGAGCAGCAGCGGCTGCGCCGGGGTGGATCCGAGCAGCGGAAGGCCAGGGCTGATCCGGACTGGAGCGGCCGAGGGCGGGGTAGAGCAGCAGTGGTCAGGACGGATCTGAGCTGCAACGACCGGGGCGAAAGGACGGCGCGGAGCAGAGCTGCGCCAGGGGGTGGAGAGAAGCTGGCCGGAGATAGCAGCGTGGCTACCGGAGACGTTGGCTGGAGACTAGATACGAGGTGCACGGAGTTACATCGTGCGGGAGGAAGGGGCTAACCTAGCATCTGATACCATGTTGGATAATCAGCAACTAGTATTTACTGAGGCCAGGGATGAAACTAGAAAAAAAGTTTGATGGGGTCATGTCTATGATAGTGGGGTCATCTTCCATAAATGAATAGCAATTAATACTAAATTAAGGAAGAATTACCTAATTTCATTGGGGTCAATTGACCCCAATGCTTACCAAGCAGCTCCGTCCCTGACTGAGGCCAGAGGTCAGTACATATACATGTGTGGTAAAGTGC